CTAGGGGCACTGTCTCAGCACCCGGGCCTCTCCACGCCCCAGGCCGGCGTCCCCCTCCTCTGAGCGGAGTCCCGTGGGCGGCCTGCCCGGCCGTGAAGATCCTGGAGCCTTCGTGTGGCCCCAACCTCAGCCCCTGTGCTCACCACCACCTTTGTGGCAGCCACAGGCCCCTGGTCTCCTCAGGGGTGACCTCGCCCAGGGCAGAGGCTGCCTCCGCTGGCAGAAGCCGGTGGCTGAGGGTTGGAAATACACAGACATTTTTAATGGAAGCAAAATGGGGCCACGGCGTCACCCCATTAGGGATTGAGCTCAGGTGAGGCAGGGCAGGCGCTGTGCCCGTGTCATGGCAACGACAGCAGCCTGGCGGCAGGAGGGGGGGCCTGGCCATGAGGGGCCTGCGAGGAGCCCAGGCTGCCAGCTTCATCCCTGGGCAGGAGCGGAGCTCTGGCCCAGCTGGTTCTGCGAACACCCCGAGGGTGGGCACCTGGCGGCTCTCAGAGCCTCCTCAGTGTAATTACGTAATCAAACCCCGCGAGTACTTAAGTACACCCTGCTGGTGAGCCATGGCGGGCGGGTGAGGGCCTCGGCGAGCGGTTAAATATATTTTTTATTGATTTCAGAGAGAGGGAAGGAGAGGGAAAGATAGAAACATCAATGAGAAACAGTCTCCTGCATGCCCCCTACTTGGGATCACGTCCCACACCTGGGCATGTGGCCCAACCAGGAATCAAACCGTGACCTGGTTCATGGGTCCACACTCAATTACTGAGCCACACCACGCTGAGTTAGGTTTTTTAAAAAATGTATTTTTATTGATTTCAGAGAGGAAGGGAGAGAGAGAGATAGAAAGATCAATGATGAGAGAGAATCATTGGTCAGCTGCCTCCTACACGCCCCACACTGGGGATCGAGCCCGCAACCCGGGCCTGTGCCCCAACCAGGAATAGAACCGTGACCTCCTGGTTCATTGGTCGATGCTCAACCACTGAGCCACGCCGGCCGGGCTGGGCTAGCTTTTACTTGTAAAAGGACAATAAGCATTTGTTATAGAGCAATGATGGATTCTAAATGAATTCCGAACCAAGTAAAAACAAGATCCTTCTGGGGAGAAGGGCCTCGACAGGGGTGCTCACTGTTCCAGTCCTTTCCCTGTGTGTGCACGTGTGTAGCTGTGTTCCGCGCCCATGGTGCATATGTGTGCCTGTGCGTGTTCATACGTGTGCGTGTGCACTTGTGGGTGTCAGGCGGGGAGGGTTCTGGGGCATGTGCTCTTCCGGAAGCTCATTCCTGGAGGCGGGCGCTGCCAGTCACCCTCTTGTTCGTGGGCACTGTCTGTGCCCCCGCTGCAGAGTTTCCGGGGCCCCTACAGCGGAACACGGGCCGTTTCCGATTTTCCCTCCCCCGTCGTGCTGAAGGGAACCTCTGCGTCCATACACCTTCCCTTGTTTATTTAGGACGGGGTCTAGGCGTGGAGATTCTCGGTGTAACGTCACACGATTGTAAGGTGTCGGGCCGTTTCCTACATCAGGGTCACGCTGAGCCTTATTTTGGGAAAGCGGGGGCATGGAAGCCTGGGGCTGACACCTCCGGGCGGCAGGGAGGAGGAGCAGGGGCTGGGATGAAGGTGATGAGGGTCCAGCTATAAGCCAGTCCGTGGCTGACAGTCACGGGAGACTCCTCTCATGGGGAGACCAAGAGGTGCGCGGCTCACACAGGAGAAAGGACAGGGTGGGTGCCAGGGCTCAGGGAGGGGCGGGGCTTCATGGTACTGGGTGGGGTATCCGGGGAAGTGAGACACCCCAGAGATGGAGGGGGTGATGGCTGCCTGAAATCAGAGCCTTTGACACTGCAAAGCACCCTGGCATTCCGATAGGACACAGACCTCAGAGGACAAATACCTCTGCTAATGGGTGACTGCCCTGTCCCTACCCGGGAGAGGGACCAGCGGGGCCAAGAGCCCCAGCATTTCACACCCGGGGTGGGGGGGCCTCCCTGAGGGGGCACAGAAGTCCTTTGGAGCAAAAGACACAGGTTTTCTTGAAAATTAGCAATGTCCTGTTCTCAGGCAGAAATACTTGCTTCAGTCCCAAGGAACCTGCAACCCCCAGTGAACTCAGGGTGGCCTGAGGCGACGGGGAGGGGCTGCCCTGCTCCCAGTGGGCAGTGGCAGGACCTTGGGCTGGATGGGCAGCCAGGCGGCTGCTGAGAGGGTCGGAATCAGGCCTCACTGGCACTTGGGTCTCACCTGCACCTGGGCCTCACCTCCACCTGGGCCTCACCTCCACCTGGGCCTCACCTCCACCTGGGCCTCACCTGCACCTGGGCCTCACCTCCACCTGGGCCTCACCTGCACCTGGGCCTCACCTCCACCTGGGCCTCACCTCCACCTGGGCCTCACCTCCTCCTCCACCTGGGCCTCACCTGCACCTGGGCCTCACCTGGGCCTCACCTGCACCTGGGCCTCACCTCCACCTGCACCTGGGCCTCACCTGCACCTGGGCCTGTGCGCTGAAGGCGCCATTCAGCTCTGAGCAGGACTCAGGAAGGGAAAGGAAGAGAAAGGACTGGCATCAAGCAGGAGCCAGGGCCCCTGGAACTGTGGTAGGACCCCCTGCCCTCCTTGGGAGTGACTTCATCCGGGACCCTGTTTGTCAGGAGAGGCCGGGACCACCTGCCTCATCTGAGCTGAAGGGCCCGAGGGGCACCCAGTGGGAGCGATGGCCAGGCCACTCCAGGCCCCGTGCCAGGGGATGGGGCCTGTCTCCTGCATGCCTGTGCACAGGGTGGAGGTGCCCCAGGCCAGGCCTGTATTGGGGGTTGGGGCAGTGCCAGGGCTCCACAGGACAGAAAAGAGAAGCGCAGTCGGCCCCCAGCCCTCCCCGCGCCCCCGGCGCACCCTCAGTTGCGGATTTGCTGATGGTTCTTGGGCACAGCCATGAACCTCAGCTTCCTCATGACGGCCGGCCGGCCCAGCAGCTGCTCGTCCCACAGGTACTCCGGGGACAGCACCTTGGTGGGCTTGTGGTCCAGCAGGTACCGGTTCAGGTGGCTCTCGTCGTGCCAAACGGCCTCGATGCCATTGGCGCGGTCGGCCATCATGGCCTGGTGACAGGACTTGGTGAGCCGCTGAACCTCGGCCACCGACCCCCCGAAGAAGCCCCCCAAGTAGTAGAAGTCGCCCTGGTCCCGGGGGATGTAGGCCTGGGACTGCGGCCGGCGCTCGTAGGTGAAGGCCTGGCGGGCCGCCCTGTAGAAGCCGGGGTGCAGGGTGCCGAAGAGCGGGGACAGGATCTCCACGCCCACGTGGTCGCTGAAGCGCATGTCCACGTCCACGCACATCAGAAAGTCCACCTCCCGCCGGAAGCGCCGCTCACAGAAGTCGCTGATCATCTGCATGCGGCTCATGGAAATGTCCTGCCAGCGCGCGGCGCCCGGGACCTCGAGCACCACCAGGCGGCGGCCCTCCCCCAGTGCCACGCTGGGCACGTCGGCCGGCCGGTCGGTGAAGACGTAGTAGTGGACCCTGTGCCCCACCATGAAGTGCTGCTCGGCCGTCTCCAGGAAGAGCTTCAGGAAGACCACGTACCTGCGGGGGCGGGGAAGCGGGGGAGGTCACGGGAGCCAGGCCAGGCCCCACCTGGGCCACGCAGCGCGTGCGCCTTCTTCCAGGGGGACTGTGGGGCCCTGTCCAGAGGACGCGAGATGTGCAAGGCCAGGGCCAGCTTCCCAGACGCAGGTGCAAAGCAAGGACACAGCGATCTTTCTGCACTGCACAGGCCCTGCTGTCACCAGAGACGATGCCGCTTTGGGCAAGAGGCCTCTTGTGTGAGTGGTTCGCTGCCTGGCCGGGCTACTAGGTTTGTCATGGCTCCTGTGTGAGCCAGGCTACTTCGCGTGGCTCCTACGTGGAGGCTGCTCTGAGGGAAGATGGATTGTTCACAGCCGCTGTGGGCTGCCTGCTTCATGGGATTTTGCTTTGAAGAACTGATTTGTCTGATGGCTCCTTGTTAGCCTTGGTTACTGCGGCTACAATGAAGACTTATATCCCCATGACTTCTCACGTCCTCTCCGTCTAAGACCTGGCGTCCAGAGAGGTCCGGTCCTGGGCAGAGGGGCTCGGACCCAACAGTTGGCGCCACCGAGCAGGATGAAGGAGTGAGAACTCCGACAATTGGCCTGGCCAGCAGGGTTCAGGGTATGTGTGGACTCAGAAGTAAGTGCTCCTGACAGGGACCCACTCCCCTGGCTTGGCCTGGCCTGAGCAGGTTCTGGGCTTGGCCTCCCTAATCCTCTGCTCCCGGAGATGGGGGTCCGGCAGCACCCCATCATATGGAGGAGGGTCTGAGGCTGGGGGTGGGGGGCGGCTGGAGCAGTGCCTTGGTGAGCAGAGCTGGAGCTGGGTCCCACCTTTGCTATACTTCCCGAGAACCCCCCAGCCCCTACCCCCAGGTCCCCATCTCCTGGGTGACCCATCCCGCCTGGTGACCCCGCTCCTCCTGGTGACCCCGTCCCTCCTAGTGACCCCACCCCGCCTGGTGACCCCGTCCCTCCTGGTGACCCTATCCCACCGGGCTGACCCCATCCCGTTATGCCCTGGACACAGGACAGACCCTCCCTGACCTGCCGTTCCCACCTCCGCTCTCTGCCCTCCGTCCTGCCACCCACTCACTTCTTGATGGCAAACACGGTGAGCCCGACCGTGACGTTCTGGAGCCGGAACTGCTCGTTCAGGATGTCAATGTTGAAGGTCCCCTCCCAGACGATGGGCGCCAGCCACGGGGTCAGGACCAGGACGTCTTTCCTCCTGCGCCGAGAGCCCACAGCCACGTGTGAGCGGGCAGGAGGGGGACACACTCCGCCTGTGCCCCCTGCCGCACCGGGCGCCCCACTGGGCCCCATGCCCTCAGCAAGCAACCCGCCTGATGCCAGTCCAGGCAAACGTGGGTGATCCCCCCTGACCAGCTCTGCACCCTGAGGACCCGGGGCAGCGGGACCTGCCGGCGAAGGGGACCCCCTGCAGGAGGCCCCACCCTCCAACTGTCTTGGTGAACAGAGGACACAGAACAGGACACCGAGCGCAGGGGGAAGGACAGAGACTGTGGGCTCCAGGCTCAGAGCCCAGGCCGCCAGAGCACGGAGTGCACGGAGCCAGGCCCGGGAGGGACGGCAGTGGCCCGCCCTTTAGGACATCGGGAGAGTGACGGTGAGCTGCAATAAAAGTACTCACGAGGGCGTCATCACCATGGGCTGCGGATAAAGCATCCTGAAAAACAGCACAGTGCGGCCTGAGTGTCGGGGAGTCCCGTGGAAGTCGCCGGCAGGGCAGGGTGGCTGCTGAGAGTGCCAGGCTGTGCCTTCTCCCCGGACCCGGAACCCAGGCTCCTCCGCAGGCACCTCGGGGAGGCTGGGCCTCTGTGTGTCGCTTCCCCGCGTGTGCACTGGGCCCTGGATCTAAAGGCCTCGGGCCTCTGCCTCCCTCTGACCCGAAGTGGCGGGATCCCAGGGTCCCGCCTCGGTTCACTGTGGGCGGGAGGGCCGGGAAGTGCCCTCTGGGTGGGTGGGTGCCCCAGGAAGGAGCTGGCCCAGAGGAACGGCCGTCAGACATGCTAGGGGCTCTGCTGGGCTCTGTCTGGGCGACAGGAACACCCCTGACGTGGCCGTCACGGGACCAGCTCCAACAGCGGCTGCGGCTCTGTCAGGGGGCCACAGCCTGGGCCGTGTGTGCGCCGGGCCAGTCCCAACCGAAGCCTGTGGAGGCCCGAGTGTGGGCCAGCGGGCCGTGGGTCATTGTAAAATGACCGCCATGTGCACTCCGGGATGCAGTTAAAGTAGGGTGTCTGCCCCGGCTGCTGTGGCTCAGTTGGAGCATCGTCCCAGGCACCAAAGGGTGGTGGGTTCGATTCTGGGTTGGGGCACAAATGAGAGGCAACCGAGTGATGTTTCTCTCTCTATTCTCCTCCCTTTCTCTTTCTCTATAATCAGTTTTTTTAAATCCTCAAGTGAGGGTTTAAAAGTAGGTTGTCAGCCTTGACGAGGAAGGAAATTCTAACAGACGCCATACATGATGACCCTGTGGCCCCTGTGCCGGTGAAGCCATCCAGTCTCGCCCAGCTGGCCTGGCTCAGGAGTTGAGCATTGACCCATGAACCAGGGGGTCACTGGTTCGATTCCTGGTCAGGTTGCGGGTTCACTCTCCAGGAGGGGGCGTGTAGGAGGCAACCGATCAATGATTCTCTCTCATCGTTGATGTTTCTCTCTCTCTCTCCCTTCTCTGAAATCAATAAAAAATATATTTTATTTAAAAATATAAATAAAGAAAGAAAATAAAGAAATGTGCAGGCCACAAAAGGACAAACCCTGTGACATGAGGGCCCCACACCAGCTCCTGGAGGGGGGGGGGGTGTTCCATGGGACAGAGTGTCAGTTTGGAAGATGGAAGGTCCTGGCGATGGTGGTGGTGGCGGCTGCCAACAGTGACTGTCCCCAATGCCACTGAGCTCTACTCCTCAAAATGGCTCCGATGTAAGGGTTTCGGCCATGTGTAAGTTACTACAGTGAACACTTTAAAACAAAAGTGTAGGGTGGCTGCCCTGTCTCAGATGGCCCGAGGTGGTCCCTTTTGCACCAACAAAAGCCCACAGCCCAGGACAGCCAGCCTGTTACAGTCTGACCGGGCCCTGGGAAGAAAGCAGCCATCTCCATCTGTCCCCCGCGCCCACCTCTCTCCCCCCGCCGCCCCCCATTCCCCCCAACACACACACTGGGACTGGAGGGCAGGTATCGCTGGGCGGGCCATGGAAGACACTGTACCTTGGTAATTTCACAACTTGCATCTCGGTCGGTTTTCTAGTGGCCTCGCTGCCGAATGAGAACAGAGGGTTTTACCAGGAGAACTCGGTTCAAGTGCAGGGATCAGAGCTGGGGTCCCGGTGGAGGGGGACGGGGCGGCCTGGCGTGTGGCCATGGGCTTCATCTTCAACTAGCCCTCACTGTGGGCAGTGGGCCCGGCGCTGCCTGTGTCCCTGCACGTCTCAGATGTGGGGACCTCGGTGCAGTCGGAGCCGCTGGGCCCCGCGTTCAGCAGACGCTGCTGACTGAAGCTGAGCAGGTGCTGGTTGCAGAGGGGCCGGCACTCGGCCCCTCCCAGCGTGCAGGGTCCCCGATCCCCCGCCCCGCACACCACCGGCCTCGGTCCCATTTCTCACAGATCAGATGCATACGAGCTGATGCCGTGGGCCTTCTGAAGCCAGGTCACCAAGGGCATGAGCCCAGGCTCGTCTCTCTTGGGGACACAGATCTTGCAGCCCCCACCCTGGCTGGTACGGAGGAGCTGGCCCGAGGCCAAGGGCGGGGAGAGAATAAATAGGTCCTGGCAGGGGGGCGCAGCAGGTGCAAAGGCCCAGGGTCTGACCGCAGGCTTGTCAGGAGGACAAGAGGCCCCGGGGCAGAGGCGGCAGGCAAGCAGGAGGCACACAGAGGGCCCCCCCCGCCCCCCCCCCGAGGCAGGAGGTCAGATGGAGGTCAGAGCTAAAGCCAGACGTGTGGAGAGTCCTGCCCAGGTGACCCTTCAAGGTCAGGGACTTGGCTGAGCTGCTCTGAGCGTGGGGAGAGGGACAAGCAGGAGGTCCTGACCCACCGATGTGTCACCTGGGGGGGGGGCTGGGCCCTCAGAGTAGGAAGCCAGTGCCGGGCTGTCAGGGCCCATGACCCGCCCTCACACACTCACCCTTCGCCTTCTGATTTGGTCTCCAGCATCGAGATTCTTGGGCTCAGGACCCCCATGCTGTGGAAGAGCCCCCCCAAGGCCTTTGTTGAGGAGCTGGTCCTGGGACGGCCTGTCCACCTTCCCCACGCAAAGCAGATGAGCCAGGTCATGACCCCGAGCTCCCTAGAGCAGCTGCCCTCGGGCAGGGCGGGGGCCAGTCTCCCCAAAGCTCAGGTGACCGGTCCCAAGGAGGGGCAGTCCCTGCGGCCAGTGCCCCCATGCGAGCCCCTGCGCGGCTGGAGTGGGTCTGTGCATGGCCGGCTGGTCCGAGGCTGCCCCCGGACGGGTTCCTGGCAGGGCCCTGCCCCAGGAGAGCGGCCGTGACCTCACTCCCCGTTCCAGGACCTTCTCCATCTGGGAGTGGCTGACAGTGCGGCTTCCGCACTCGCAGCCACACTTCGGAGGGGTCCTGGCCTCGCCCGACTCCCCACTAGGGACGTGGGGGGAGCACAGCTCACCCACAAGGTGAGGCCTCAGTAGGAGGGAGTGTGCAGCCGGGCGGTGGGCCGTGAGGCGGCTGTCACCAGTCCCGTCACTACAGTTGTGATCCCGGGGTGGCGGGATTGGGGGGAGACAGCTCAGGTCACCCCGCTGGGATCCGATCGGCTCCTGCTGCTGCTTCTCCCAAGCCCGGCAGACCCAGAGGGTCACACACGCTTCTTACCCAAAGAAGACCAGGAGGACGGTGATCAGAAAAAAGGTCAGAGGTCGAAGCGAGCAGCACTTCAATTTTCCTGGAAAACAGATGGGAGGGTACACAGTCTTTGTCGCCGTTAGTCACACACCGTGTTTTTAAGGTTCTCCATGTCACCCACATCAAGGTCGTTCTTCTTTTATTGCTGAGCAGCCTCTGTGGAGGTGACACAATTTGTTCGTGCTTCACCTGTTGGTATTTTGAGGTCCCCCCCCCCCATTTGGGCCTGCCAATTTCTATAGACATTTAGGTACAGGTGTATTCGTGGACACAAGTTTTAGACTGTCTTGAGTGACTAAGCACCGACTAAAACCACGCAGGCGGCAGGTTCAACGTAGTCAGAAGCCGCCGATTGTTTTCCAAAACGGTTGTAGGGTTTTCCACTCCCGTCAGCAGCGCGGGATTCCAGGGGCTCCCGTGCTTGCCGACGTGTGACACTGGGCCACTTTCACGTCCCCCCTGTCTCCCCCCCACCCCATCATCCCCCTACCCGCCGGCCCAGGGGACACGTAGTGGTATCTCACTGCGGCCAAGACTAATTATAAAAACCCTGTTCCTAGCCCTAACCGGTTTGGCTCAGTGGATAGAGCATCGGCCTGCGGATTTAAGGATCCCAGGTTCGATTCCGGTCAAGGGCATGTACCTTGGTTGCGGGCACATCCCCAGTGGGGAGTGTGCAGGAGGCAGCTGATCGATGTTTCTCTCTCATCGATGTTTCTAACTCTCTATCCCTCTCCCTTCCTCTCTGTAAAAAATCAATAAAATATTTTAAAAAACAAAACAAAACCCTGTTCCTCATCATGTGTTTTGGAATCTTTCCCTATTTGAAGTTGGGTTGTTTCCGGGTTTATTACTGAGAAGTTGAAGTTATTTACATAACGTGGACCTGAGTTCCGTGACGACATGCAATTGATGATATGCGTATTGCAGAGATTCTCAGTTTGTGGCTTATCTGATCACCTTCTTAATTTTGTGTTTTGAAGTGAAGGTTTTCATTTTGACAAAGTCTAATTTACTTCTTCTTATGGTTTGAGCTTTTTTCCTGTCTCATCTAGTGAGTTTTTGCATACTCCAATGTGGTGAATATCTTCTCCTGAAATTTGTAACTTTTAAAAATATATATATTTTTACTGATTTCAGAGAGGAAGGGAGAGGGGAGAGAGAGATAGAAACATCAATGATGAGAGAGAATCATTGATCGGCTGCTTCCTGCACATTCCCCACTGGGGATCGAGCCTGCAACCCTGGCATGTCCCTGATCAGAATCAAACCCAGGACCCTTCAGTCCCCAGGCTGACGCCCTATCCACTGACCCAAACCAGCTAGGGCAAGAAATTTTGTAACTTTTAAAATATTTTTTATTGCTTTCAGAGAGGAAGGGAGAGGGAGAGATAGAAACATCAATGATGAGAATCATTGATTGGCTACCTCCTGCACTCCCACCCTGGGGATCAAGCCCGAAACCCAGGCATGTGCTCTTGGAATCGAACCCGGGACCCTTCAGTCCGCAGTCCGACGCTCTATCCACTGAGCCAAACCAGCCAGGGCAGGACTATTTTTTTTTAAATCTATATATTTATTGATTTCAGAGAGGAAGGGAGAGATAGAAACATCAATGATGAGAGAGAATCATTGACCGGCTGCCTCCTGCACGCCCCCCACTGGGGATGATTGAGCCCTCAACCCGGGCATGTGCCCTGACCGGGAATCGAACCATAACCTCCTGGTTCGTAGGTCGATGCTCATCTACCGAGCCATGCTGGCCAGGCAGAAATTTTGTAATTTTTGTCTATGGTGTGAAGGATTGATGTTCTTTTTTGTTTTTCTTGTTCTATACAGATATCCAGTAATTTCAGCTATTTGAATTGAAAATGTTTTCCTTTCCCCATTTTATTCTTTTAGCACTCTATTGAAAATCCGTGTGTGTGTATCTACAGGGTGTCCCCCAAAATGTATATACACTTTAACAGCTGATAGCTCAATTTTGAAAATGAAATGATTATAATAAACACTGCCTTTATAACTATTCAAAGTGTGTGCACACATTTTTTGGGGACAATCTATATATCTGGAGCCTGGATTCTGTCCCATTGATCTGCAGGTCTATTCCAATACCAACCTGTACGGATCACTGTAGCTCTGTAATACATCTTGAAATAAGGACGTGTAAGCCCTAAAAGTTCTTTTTCCATTTTCAAATTTGTTTTGGCTATTCTGGGACCTTTGCATTTCCATATAAATTATAGAATCAGCTTGTCAATTTTTATAAGAAGGCCTTCTGGAGTTTTGGTTGGGATTATGTAATTCCATAGATCAATTTGAGAAGGGAGAGTTTAACAACCCTAAACCTTCCAATCCATGAACATAGTCTTTCTCTCCACTCATTATATCTTCTTACATTTCTCTGGCAATGCTTGGTGGTTTTAATTGTATAGACATTGCTCTTAATTCGATAAATTCATCCCTAAGTGTTTCGTGCTTTCTGATACTGTTGTAAATAGTATTTTTAAATTGTCATTGTCTGATTGGCTGTAGTAAGTATATAGAAATATGATTGGTTTGTATAGTGAGTTTGTATCCTGTAACCTTGCTGGGCTTATAACAAGATGCAATGTACATGACAATAATAGCGCCAAGTGAAGAGCATGAAATGAAGGACTATTGAGCAAAGAAATGTCACCAGACAACAACTCAAATACACAGAAAGATTTTTTTTTTAAATATATTTTTATTGATTTTTTACAGAGAGGAAGGGAGAGAGATAGAGAGTCAGAAACATCGATGAGAGAGAAACATCGATCAGCCACCTCCTGCACATCTCCCACTGGGGATGTGCCCACAACCCAGGTACATGCCCTTGACCGGAATCGAACCTGGGACCTTCCAGTCCACAGGCCGACGCTCTATCCACTGAGCCAAACCGGTTTTGGCACACAGAAAGAGTTTAAGAGTAGCCCTAGCTGGTTTGCTCAATGGATAGAGCATCGGACCTCGACTGAAAGGTCCTGGGTTCAATTCCAATCAAGGGCAGGTACCTCGGTTGCAGGCTTGATCCCTGGCCCCTCTCACATTGATGCTTTTCTCTCTCAGTCTCTCTCCTCTCCGTTCCACTCTCTTTAAAAAAATCAATGGAAAAATATCCTTGGGTGAGGATTAACCAACCAACCAAACAAACTAAAGAAACAGAGAGTAAAGCAAATGGCTAATATGAAGTTTAAAATAAAATGCTTGAAAAACACTTTTCTCCTTCCTTGCCCTAGTTAATGTAAAAGAAAGAAGATTGTTTAAAGTAATACTTATAAGACAGTATTTCTGAGTTCATAACATACATGAATGAACATATATGACAAGAGAGGAGGGAAGAAATGGAGCTAATTGGAGTGAAGTTTCTGTATTCTGCTGGAATTAAGTTGGTATAGACTGAAGTAAATTGTGTAAATTAGAATGCACAATCTCCAGAGCAACCACTAAAAGAAATAACTTAAAAACATATCCTTAAAAACAGCAAGGGGCCCTAACCGGTTTGGCTCAGTGGATAGAGCATCGGCCTGCAGACTCAAAGTTCCCAGGTTCGATTCCGGTCAGGGGCATGTACCTTGGTTGCGGGCACATCCCCAGTAGGGGGTGTGCAGGAGGCAGCTGATCGATGTTTCTCTCTCATCGATGTTTCCAACTCTCTATCCCTCTCCCTTCCTCTCTGTAAAAAATCAATAAAATATATTTTTTAAAAAAAAAAACAGCAAGGGAATTAAAACAGTGCAATGGGAAATATCTATTTAACGTAAAAGAATATCGTAAGGAGAAACAAAAGAGCAAAAACTCACAAAACACAGAGAAAACAATAGCTAAATGGTGGCTGGAAATCCAATCACAACAATAACAACATCGAATGGCATTGAACACCATCGGAAGGCAGACATTGTCAGACTGGATTTAAAGAAGAGCTTCAACTCTAAGCTGTCTTCAGGAGACATACTTTAGAATTGAAGACACACATAGGTCTGGTGTGCAAGTAGAGTAGAAGGTATACCCAGCAAATAACCATAGGCCTGGAGAAACCAAATTCACCCAGGCAGGAAATACAGCCTCTCGCCGCTTAAAGATGGGAATCCTGCTAAGAAGTACGTCCTTAGGCGATCTCGTTGTACGAACATAGATGCACAAACCTAGACGGTACAGCCCACTCCACACCTAGGCTGTGTGGTCAACCCTACTGCTCCTGGGCTATAAGCCGGTGTGGCATGTTACTGTACAAAACAACACAAGGTTAAGTCACACACAAGAGAAAATGATGCAAATAAGAGGCGCAGGAAACACAAGTTGTATGAGGCTGGTGCTGGTATAACACGCCCCCAGCTGAGGGCAGGCCATTGGGCCGCAGGCCAGACACAGGGAAGAGAGGCGGGAGGGGCATGGCAGGTGGGCAGGATCAGGGGCAGGGACCACGGAGAGGAACAGCAGCAGGAAACCACCTGATGTGGAGGATTCAGGGGCCACAGATGAAGCAGAGGCCACCCCCAGAGAGACCTGAAGCGGGAACACTGGGCCCTGGGGTGGTCTGGGTAGGATGAGCAAAATGGTGGTGTGGTGTTTGATGGTGAGATGTGAGCACAGGGAGGGGGAGGTCTTGGGGGCTGGTGGGGTAGGGGATCTGTAAGGCTGGACAATCTTCCAGGCTCGCAAAGGCACAGGGAAAAACACAGCCAAATGTGTCTCTAGACTGCCGTTGGCCGACTAAGTTAAAAGAACAGAGAACACATTAGTTGCCACTAATCAAGGAAGTAATTTAAAACAGCTTTTTCATATCAAAGATGCAAAGGGCTTAGGGAGTTTCCCGTGCAGCCTCCAACTTCCAGGGAAGCATCTGCTTAGTGCTGGGGACGGGGCGGGGACACAGGGCGCTGCCGGGAGAGCCCAGGCCGCAGCGCCAAGCATCAGGCCAGGGAGTGGTTTTCCACAGAACAGTTTTGCCCAAAGTCATGTAGAATTTATGCAAAGCTAGAGCCCAAACCCAGGTCCAGGGTGACACCCTGCCCGGTGTGCGTGGGACCAGCTGGGTCCCCAGGACACAGGACTAAAGTG